TTACAATGAAAATAATGACCCTCTCTGTCTACAAATCCTTCCATCTTGGCTCTAGACTGCATCGCCTCCAAATTTCCAAGACCCCAGGACTCCTCTTCCATTGATTTTAACTTTTTCAAGTACAACCATAATTTTCCCTCTATTTCTCATGCCAGTTTAGTTTAGAGCACATGATTAGTTTATTTGAAATATACAGAGTACTCAAAACTACGATTCTTGAGATTACAAAAAGCACTGTGCTAGTCAGGGTCACAATGATTGTCCAGTGATGGCTTCTATTTTCTTAAACATTTACCTAACTTTGACAGTTTTGCTCACTCTCTCCTTAACATCTTGGCTTCTTTGATTCCACATTCTCCTGGTTTTCCTTCTACTTCTCCAGTCACTCTTTCTTAGACTCAATAAGTTTTCGAACCCAGGAATTAAGAATGCTCTCTTGGGGCCAGGCCAGTGGCATAGTTGTTAAGTTCGCATGCTCCACTTCAGCGGCCCGGGGTTCGCAGGTTCAGATCCCGGGTGCAGACCTATGCATCACTTATCAAGCCATGCTGTGGCAGGGATCCCACATATAAAGTAGAGGAAGATGGGCATGGATGTTAGCCCAGGGTCAATCTTCCTCAGCAAAAAGAGGAGGACTGGCAACAGATGTTAGCTCAGGGCTAATCTTCCTCACCAAAAAAAAAAAAAAAAAAAGGAGTGCAATCTTCATAGAATTTTCACTAAGAGCTATGTATATAAAATGTGTATAGTAAATATAAGCATAGTTTAGTCTACGCTCTCATATTATGGCCATGAACTTTTTGGACAAGCGAACCTTTATTTCCTTACTGTTCCCTCACTAAGTGATTTTTGCTGTGGGTTAATAAGGACATCATAATTTGACATTTATTTGCCAGAAAACTCTCTCCACTTGGTCCTTATGGAAATTTTGATATGAGTCATAATGAAAGAAAGCAAGGAAGAAGTGAATTTTAAGAGAGATTTCAAAGAAGGAGAGGTCAAAGAGACTAAAGGAGGAGAGGAGAGTACATTGACTTTTCAAGCCCTAAAAGGAGAAAAAATCAAGTACTAGAATAATCAGGGACAAATAAAACAGATTTCATATATAACAACTTAGGACAAGAAGGAGAAAGGTAGATGGAGGAAAGATACATTAAGCAATTTGAGAGGAGCTCAAACTGGTAAACATAGTTCGTTCATCTGTTATTTATTCAGTGGTGTCCATATGCCAGGCACCAGCTATACAAATCGTTCCTGCCTTCACAAAGCTCACACTTCAGACAAGGAGACAAACAATAAACAATGAAACAAATTAATGTAGGATTACATTTAAGAGTAAGTGCTGTCAAGGAATCAAAAATGATGGCAGAGAACAACGGCATGTGGGAAGGCCCAGAGTTTAGAACTCGCTTAGTACTTCTGAACAAGGCCAGATAGGCAAGACAGCTATGAATATCATGGTAAAGAGTTTAAACTTTATTATTAGTGCAATGGAAAACCACTGAGGAACTGTAAGCCAGGAAAGGACAATTTTTTTTTTTCCCTCCCTAAGATGACTCCAGCTAATTAGACCAAAAAAGACAGGGTTTAAAGTGAGTAAGATGACTCAGACAGCATACTACACTCTGGCCTGATATCTTCAGCAGGACAAATTCATCTTTTATTCAAATCTAACTCCACTTCTACTATATAGAAAACAAAATTAAAGATCATAACAGGACAGCATCATTTTATTATATCAAGATCAGTGAACATCTTTAATTACCAATTTATTCATCAATAAAACCAGGCACTCTCTTCTAGTTCTAAAACTCTATAATGTTATAACAGAAAGGAAGATTTGGAACAAAAATAAAATTACCAGAGGCAAAAATGGAGTAAGCAGGATATTCTGAAAGCCTTGGATTTTTTTTTCAAGTAGGTTGCTAAATATTTTATACATGAAGACAGAAAGAAAGCTTTGAAACATATTATAGGGCCGGCCCAGTGGCTTAGCGGTTAAGTGCACGCGCTCCGCTGCTGGCGGCCCGGGTTCGGATCCCGGGCGTGCACCGACGCACCGCTTCTCCGGCCATGCTGAGGCCGTGTCCCACATGCAGCAGCTAGAAGGATGTACAGCTATGACATACAACTATCCGCTGGGGCTTTGGGGGAAAAAATAAATAAATAAAATCTTTAAAAAAAAAAAAAAAAAAAAGAAACATATTATATAAAAAGGTATTACATTAAGTAATTATCTGAATACTTATTATAAAAGCTGTAAGTAAGGCGACATATAAAATTGAAGGTAAAACTCTGGCAATATGTAACAAAATGCCATCCTCTAGAGAAACCTCATAGAGGAAGGTGTTCTTTTATGAGCAATGTTCCAACTTCTTATAAGCTTGTGAAAACAACCAGTCATTTCAAGAATATTATTTTATTAATGGGTTAAGTTTCCCTAAATCTTGATGTTGTTTTCAGTTTAAAATAAAATGATTACTTTTTCATTTTTCATTTAATTGATCACTAAAAGTTACAGGCTAAGAATGAATAATCATGAATAGTTGAACAAACATTTTTCTTTCTTTTATGGTTTCAATTGGATTACAGGAAACTTGTCAATTATTAATTAATACCCTTTGATTAAATATCTTGGAATTTAAGGTGATAATTTATGTATATGACACCAAATTTAATAGGGCGCAGAGAAAATGCCATACTTACTATGCTGTTCTCTATTTGAAAAAGAAATTTAAACATAGTTTAATTCATATGGAAAATACGCCCTAAGATTTTACATGTATATATCCAAAAAATTCGTTTTTCTGCTCTCATCCACTTTCCTCAACCACCCATGAAAATAAACCAATGATATGCAGTTTTCTCTCTATTATTCCAATTATGTGACTATTTTTGCTAATCCTTTCCAGAATACTCAGAATCATTTAACCCCATAATGTACTATTTCTTTATAAACATTAAAATTCAGATTTGAGAAATTAAAGACTTATTTGTTTACCAATGGAATCTGTAACAGGAATTTTAAAAAAAGAAACAAAAAACATGACTTCAACACAGGGAAACCCTTGATTCAGTCCAGTGTTAAACTACTTACAAAATGAGTTATCCAGTTGCCACAAATTCCCTTGTGGGAAAAATGTGTAAAAGGCTTCAAATACACGGAGAACTCCAAGAAAGACGTATATTAAAATAAACAAACATACTAGAAAGGTGATGATTCTTCAAGTAAATATGACAACCCCATTAAAATGCAACACATGTTTTTCTGCAAAAAGGAAAGCTAAGAAGATGAAATAGACACTTTATATAAAATATTTACATATACAATGCACAAAACCCACTACGGATAGTAACCTTCGTGGCTTTGAAGAACTAGATATTTACATATCTTTCTTTCTGCGTGTGTGTGCGTATGTGTGTTTTGTATATATTTTTAACAGTTGACAGCTGTTTTAGAGCATACAGAGATGCCAAGCTGAATGAGGGTCTTGATTACTTCAAGATTAGCTATCTAAAGTTTCTATTCATTTTAAGTGTTGTTAGTTGGAAGAGTCATTAGTCACTTCCTTGTCTCATAGAACATCAGCATACATTTACATTGTTAATGAACATTTGGGGTAAATGAATTAATGGCACTTTTAAACATCAATTCAGTCCTAATAACTTTGTATGTCACAGAAATGTTAGGCTAGGATATAAACGAAAAGCCTTTTTAGTAAAGGTAACCACTTATTCTGCAAACAATAAAGGATAAAATTAATTTAAAATGTTTTTTAACTAGTTAAAAAAAAAAAGAACCTCAATATTTAATGAACTAGGCCAGAGAAAAATATGCACTTAAAAAAAAAAAGCCCTATGCTCTAAAATAAGCATATAAACTAGAAAATTCTAGTGAAACTATTTTATATACTTATAACACAAAAACATATTCACTTTTAAAATACCCACTTATAGAAGTGCTAGCAAAATAATTTGACATATTTAATTATGAGTGCTTCTTATAGGTACTGTATTTAAGAAAAAACATCACTAGGAAAGGTAGTATCATTCTTACCAGGTGAAATTTTAAAAATGCTGAAACTGAAATGTGACACTAATAATTTTTTCATATTATCAAAACCTTAAGCAGTTTTTTTTGAGACCTTTTAGATAAAAGCAAATATAAAAATAAAAAACAAAATCACAAAAATAAGTTGTAAGGCAAACAAATTATACTATTTTCATTAAAAACAAGGGCTTTTGTATGATGTAGAAAGTATTAAAGATGCACAAAAAACAGAAACACACTCCATAAAGTCAAGAGCTTGTGTACCAAAAAAATAGCCACTTTAAGCAATCGTTTTTTAAAATTCCCAAAACATGAGTTAATGGCAGACCTTTACATCAATATAGAAGAAAAAATTGTATTTTTATTTCAAAACACATATGAATTACTTTGACTAATTATGATATTTTAAAACAGATCTCACAATCCTTATATACGTATTTCATGAGTGAAAAATTACAATTAGTTACCTGAGTCAATGAATCAACTTTATTAAATAGATCTCTAAAAGCACCACACATTTCAATTATTTAAAAAAAAAAGAGAGAGAGAGAGAATCAGGCAAGTCTTTTATTCTAGAATCATCTCCACTTGCTGGAGGGAAAAAATTCCTGCAAAATCAACACCAAAAGCTTAGACTTCTTTAAAAGATGTTTGATTTTGACAAAGGCTATTTTGCATTTCAGCATCCTCATGTTTAAGTTTATGATTTTTTAAAAAACAATGACAGTGCATGACACATTTGGCTAACGCTTCTGTCTACAATTGAAAGTTGACGTTTTGTGGTGTTCATTGGTGTCAGAGTGCTCTATACCTACCCAGGGAAATGTTCTTCGAGTTGCCCCGCTCAGCTTCACCTGCAGAACTACACACGTAAGGTAGGCAGCGCTAACTGAAGACCCTCTGCCAGGTTTCCCAGTAACTGCAGAACGCATCTGCATACAAAACTCACCTCCAGTCTTGTTTGAGTAATTTGACAAGGGGTCAATGCCCACTTCTTGTTCTTCTGGCTGCAGAGGATGTCTAGTTTCAGATAAGGAATGATACATTGTGAGAACTGGATAATGTCACCAAAAGTGACTACCTGGGAGATGAAAAATATAGAGAAAATTATAAATATTTTTTCTTTCTGCTATGACTGGGAATAAATACAAGACTGAAATGATTAAATGAGCATTATAGACATTAACAGGTTTTCCATAGGCTCCAGGGACTGCTGCTACACATTGCTAGGCATATGCAAAGAAGCAAAAAAGTGGCACAAAATTTCCATTTCAACAATTTCTCCCCAAATCTGAACTTCACTGGTAACCTTTACCTCAATATTCGATCACATTTATTTTCAATAAACTTCTGCAGAAAAAGCTGAATTGTAAGTTAAATTATTGTCACACCTATAACAACCTTTTGTTTTACTGTTAAAGTAATAAATATGTATAACAGAAATTTTCAAAATATAGAAAATATAACAAACTAAAATCACGCATACTTGTTACTGGCTAAAAACACCACTGTTAACATTTCAGTTTATTATACAATCCTTCCTATCTTTGTTCTGGGCATTTAAAATACATATATTTTTAATGTGATCCACCATGCTAAACATACTGATTATATAAATTATCATATTTTCCTTCCCATAAAAAAGTCTATATTATCACTTCTAATGGAGCCCCAGTATTCCACTATATAGCTATACTAATTTATGTAACCAATTCCTTATTCGTAAACAACTAGAATCTTTTCAGTTGTTCAACACGGTAAACAGCCTCACAGTGAACATCTTTTATATAATATCTCTGTGTCACATCCATGATTATTTCCTTAGGATAAATTCTTATAAGTGTAATTGCTGGACCAAAACATGTATATTAAAAAAAATAAGATTTTGTGATAAGTTTTGGCAAATTATGCTCTAAAAAGATTTGTATATAATAGAACAATTCATTTCCCTTGGACTCTCATTAACAATGGGAATGGGTAATTTTTTTTTTGACCATTATGATAGTCAAATTTTATAATGCATTTGCTTGATAACTAGCGAGATTACTGAAGACTTCATACGTTTTCTCTGACATTTGTTTATTGTCTTTTGAGGATGGAGTTTATTATTATGATTGTCTTCATGATTTGTAAGCATGTTTTAAATATTAAGGATATTAAACCTTTGTCATATGATACATATATTTTTCTCAGAGTGTGTCTGTCTTCAAATTATATGGCATTTTTGTGACATAAGAAACTTTTTCATTTTTATGCACCCAAATGTATCTATATCTCCTTTATGGTTTCTGCCTCTGGTATTATGGTTACAGAGGCATGATTATATAAGTAACCACCTATATTTTCTTTTATCACTTTGAAGGTTTTCCTTCTCAATTCTCATTTCTATAAATAATTCCAATTTAAACAAGGATTTTTTAAAAATTAAATAATTTTTAAACTTCCAAAATACACTACTTATAAATTTTCTATATCTATAAGGTACAAACGACCTTCCCAAAGCAAAATCTTCCAAAAATTAAACTGAGTTCACTAATTTTCATCCAAAATAATGTAAGTAACAATCTTTTAAATTTCAAGAGCAGGGAGGACATGACAGGAAGAGGAAATGAGGAATGTTAAGTTGGAAAAGAAAGTCCAACCAAAATAAATACGTAATTTTACAGGATATGGTCTCCACTTATGGAGGAAGGGTCCCAAGGAAGCCCAGGAATGCACAAATTCTTGACCAACCTTTTTCCAACACAAAATGTTCCTCTATCTTGTTCACTGTCTCTCTAAACTCTCACTTTGTAAAATACTCTTGTACATTTTCTGATTTTTATCAGAACCCTCCAACTCCACCCACTCACACTCACAGTCGATGTTAACAAATACTTTCTCCCTCAGATTGAGGCTAAAACAAAAGAAGCAGAGGGTTAGGCAAAACCAACACTAGAGAAAGCAGAAAAATATCATTGCCAACATACAGTAGCAATTTCTAAAGCCATAAATTCTAAATCCATAAATCTAGACAGTTTGTCAGTATTTGCTTCTTATGTACACAAATGAATCAACATATATTGAACACTTACTATACAGAAGGAACTCTGAGGAATATAATATAACTCTGAGGAATAAAGGATAGCGAAATGTAAATGATCAGTTATATTATGAAACAGAATCTGATAAATTCTGCTAACCAAATGAATGAACAAATTAAGAAATAAAATTCTCTACTATGGAGAAGAATCACCAAACTCGAATGCCTAATGGGGTCAGGCAAAAAGCATTATTAATTATAGTTAACATCTATTGAGCAACGAATATATGACAAAAACCACTCTAAATGCTTCATGTATACTCATCATTTCATCCTCCCAACAACCCTATGATGTATCTTCATCATGATTTTTACTTTATCAAAAAGAAAACTAAGATATAGAGAGATTAACTAATTTGTCTACAGTCACACAATTAGTAAGTGTTGAAGCCAGAATTTGAACCCATCGTGTCTGGCTCCAGAGCTCACATTCTTTACTTCTATACCACATTTGGCTATCAATAAGTCAATGAGACAAACAGACAAGGCATAAAACAAGGGGTATAAGGGGATGTGGTCTGTGACTGACTGGAACATCCTTTACTGTGCTTCAAGACAAGCTACAGATCCAGAATTTTATGTGAAATCTCTTTACCTTGTAAGTGTTGGCAAATAATTCAAATAAAAAAACAACTGTGTGGAACAGATTAAACACATTTCAAAATTGTATTTGGCCCATGGACAACAATTTTAATGTAAGATTCATATTCTCTATACATTTTGTTATACTCTTAAAAATACGAGAGTAAACATCTGAAAATGCATACTCCAAGTTAACTGCCAGATTTCCGTAAAATTTCTTTAATACCCTATATCATGTTTTCATATCATTACCTTAATTTCTTATTTTTATAGTATACTTGCACTGTCACAGACTTCACATACCTAAAATACACAAATAAGGGGATTTTATGTATTTTAAACTTTATGAGAAATAGACAAGCGACAAGCAAGCTGACATCAAAGTATATTACAAAAAGAAACATTAAAAAACCCTCTCTGTACCTAAAATAAAATACCCTACAACATGATCATGTTCATATATTCTTTCAAGATGCTCAAAGCTACTTAAGGCCTTTTTAACTCCTTAGAAAAATTAGGTTCAAGAAGTCATTCACTGATTTTAGCTTTAATAATAATCCTTTAGAAATTGACAAGTCTATGGTAATACCCAATAACCAGAATACAAAATTTACCAAATATACCAGTCTGTAACCACTCTATACAATTAGGCCTCCACTGTATTCTAATCTAGTACGCCTACAGATTGAAACTGACTCACAGAAATGTACTTAATAATCAAATAAAGCAAACCTGCTGAATAGTAATAATGAGTTATTTTCAACAAATCTGTTGAAGAAAAACATTGGGACAGTGTTCTTACTTTTCTTTTAATTATGGATTTAAATAATAATATAGTTCAAAAGTAACTTATTAAACAGGTGCTGCTTTGTTTTTTGTTTGTTGTTTTGTTTTAAATACAAAGGGCTATCTTAGGTTCCAGAATAAAAAAAATACGTGTGTCGGTTACTTCTGTTGTGATTACCTTATAAAATCACAATATAATGTTGCTTTTAAATGAGAAGTAATTTTCTTAGGAATTTTCCAATTTGTGTTTTGTGCCTATACCAACAAGTGAAAATATCTGACTATACAAAGCAGACTATCAAAGGTTTTTAAACAAATGTGTCTATATTTATTTTAATCACTATTATAAATAAATTTTTACCTATAAATATCAGACTAGAAGAAAATATTTTATAAAAATTCAAATAAAGAATTAAAGGAATTTTTTTTGGTCTGAAAATTTTTAAGATAATCACTATGAAAGTCAAAATGGCATAAACATTGTGAAACTCACAATGGATCATTACATCTTATATTTATATTACAAACAGACTTCTATACTTGATATTCTTCTCTACATAGAAGCTAGATATATGGAGAGAAAAATAAATAATGGCCACAAATATGTATCTTAGTAAATGACTACTCAAATTCATAATTAATGGATTTCAGTTTTCCTAAAAATAATGCCAAGCTGTCTCTAGAATTTCCCTAACAAAAATGGTACCCAAAGAATTTAAAAAAATAAACAAAGGCAATCTTATTTTTTCTAATTCAAAAAGCACAGCAATATACCTTCCAAGACCTAAGAAAGGAGACATCCCTTCTTTGTTACAGTTACTATAGATAACAGTTAAATTCCTGGCTTCAAAATTCACAAAACTCAAAACTCACAAATGAACTCAAAATTCACATGAACTCAAAATTCACAAAACAATTAGTCGTGCCATATAGTTTTACTGCTATCCTGGTCACAGGAATTGACACATTAGGCTGAAACGCCATTTAAAATCCAAGACTAATCTTAAGGACAGTTGTATTGGCTTTACAAATCTTATTCTTGCAGTATTAAATCTTAAGATAAAAGTGATCTGTCTGAAAGAAGGAAGTCTTATGAAAATAGTTTATACTTAATGAAAGGTAAGAGTTTAGCACTAAAGCTTAGAAGACAGTTTTAAACTATATTAAGTAAAATTTCAAAACAATACAATTTTCCATGTAAACTGAAGCCATGCAAGCAGTCTCTAAGTGAAAATTTCAAATTATTAGCATTGTACGGACAAAAACAACAGGTTAGTTGAACAAAATTTTCTCTTTTAAAATGGCATCATACAAACAAAACCTCAAAAAAATAATTTATTCCCTCTGAATCTGAAGGTCTATGTATTTCAGCTTGTATTCATTCCTTCACTGTTTCTAATACATAGGCATAGAATTAGCATTCTGAATTGTGTCTTCTAAAGACATCCATATTCAGACAAGCTCATATAAGCATACTTCATTCATTTATATTCTTGACTGATGGTAAACTTAAAAGTCAAACAGTGAAATGACAGAGTAATATTACTTTACATAGAGATATCTCCTATAAGAAAAGCATAACAGAGAGCTTAAATGAACTATTTCCAGAGCACAATTATAAAAGGGGGAGA